CGGGCAATACACTACTGGAAAACACAGTGAGGGAGAAATGAATATGATAGTGAAGGAATAGTGTAAAAGGGCTGCAAACAGCTATGGCATCAATAATTTTGGATTCTCCAATAATTTTTACCCCAGAATCTCCCCCAGGAAATTTCTTGGCTTAGTGCTAGAAAATGACATCTGTATTAGGTGTGCAGAACAGGTGATCCATCATGTCCAGGGTAACCCTCCATGTGGTGGACCCAACAGTTGCTCAATAAGCTGTTGTCTTGTGCAAGTGGTCCTCAATTTTGGAAGGGCTTGTTAGGCTTTGCTAGGTTCCTATGAAACAGGTGGACCAAAAAACAATGTTCATTAATGTAGGGGCAGAATTGATGGAAAGTTGTGATTCATTTTCCTGAGAATTCCCCATGTGATTAGAAAGTTCACCCACACAAAACTTTAGGTCTCAGGACACTTAAGCTCGTATCAACAGCTGTTTTAATCAACACGTAGAGGGAAGGTAGAAAAACTAGCATTTTGAAATACAGTACAGTGGAACCTTGGTTGTTGAAGGCTTCGGAAGTCCAATGTTTCAGCTTTCAAACGCCGGCAACCCAGAAGTGGATGTTTCCGTTTTCGAACATGCCTCAGAAGTTGAATGGCTTCCGAGGTGCGTTTCTCCATTTTTTCAATGGATTTTGCTGATCAGCAATTACGCCTCAGTTGTCAAACGTTTCGGAAGTCGAACAGTCTTCCGGAGCAGATTACATTTGACAACCGAGGTTCCACTGTATATATAGATTGTGATTTCTGCCACTGACATATGACCTGGATTTCAATTAGTATCAATGAGATTGGATTTTCATCATGTCACAAAGTAACACACATTTTAAAATAATATTTTTATTGCACTAGTAGTGAAATACATAAGAGGTAATCAATCTAACATGTATGTGATACACACACACACAAAATTGCCCCAAGCACTGATGTGTTGATTTGTGTTTTAGATGACTTATTTTATGAATATTTTAGTGCTTTATTTGTTTTAATCCACTGGTGTAATTCCATTGCTGATCCTTGGTTGTACATCACCCTGAGCTTTCTCAGAGGAAAGAGAGATTAATACATATATTTTATACTACTAATATTAAATATTTTAGATATCAAATATTGTGCAGTGCCTAATAAGGTATATGGCTGGAAAACATCCTGTATTTTAGAATTCCAGTGCATTGATTCAACAGATAAAGAATGCTGTTGGGTAAATTCTTAAACAATGCTCCCATACCTGGGAAGTTAAGAAATAACTTTAGATGCTGCTGGTGTTTGATGTTTTATTATACTTTAATTCAACTGCTACCTCTACCCTAGTACTGTGTTTGCAGGTATTGTTTTCTTTTATGCTTTTCTATTATAATGATTTTATGACTGCAGTACCCATTGCACTTTGACAAAGATCATGCTTTTTCTATTGTTTGTTTATATTAAAACCAAGAGAGAGAGAGAGAGAGAGAGAGAATTTTAGTATGTTACAAATATGCTCCACTTCTCTGTATATCTTTTATCTACCTGCCTACCTTCTCTAACTTCAAAGGCAAACCTACTCATGTTTGCTTAGGAGTCCTGTTGAGTTCAATGAGACTTCCAGGTGTGTATGAATTATAGTCATAATCCTACTATATAACCCTACCATATCCAAAGCTATTACTGCAATGGCAAGTTTAGATTGTGGTTCGAGGACCCGAACCCCGCACAGTGGAATGAAACACAAGGACACGTGATATAAGGTTAATGGGCAAGAAAAGGCCACAACTTTATTGATTACAGCAAGTGAAAAGGTATTGGCTTAGGCATTGGATTACGTCAGCTGACTCCACCCACTCGGAGAGGGGTGAGTCTAAAAAACAAAGGGGGTTTATTCACCAGTAGGTGGAGCCTGTTGATGCTAATCCAACTATAAGCTCTCCCCTGATGTCACCGAGGGTCGTGCCATGGCCTCCCGCCAAGCAGGCATCGGACAGAATACACGACCGCCGGATTCCTTTAACGGAATACCCCAAAAATTGAAGGCGCAGGCGATGGCCACACCTAGCCCTTCAACACCACAACACATTATTCCAATGCCTAATCTACCCACCAATACCACGAAAGTTGTGACGATTGCTACGAGGTAGGCGAAAAAACCAAAAGGCCTAATGCCAAATGGAAAAAATTCCTACCAGGCCCCCCGGACAACCAGGGCGACCAACCTAAGGTCCATAGCAAGGCCAAAAGAAAACTGGAAACCCTGCTCTAAGGGAGTGGAGGGTGGGTGACTTGCGACGGGACGACAAAAAGTGAGGGCTGGAGGCTGGCGCCGCAGCAATTTAGGCTGCTGTACACGCCCCCTTGAAGGCACCTGGTTGGGTGCCTGGCCGAGGGCGTGGGCGCCAGCCAGGTGAGTGGGAGGCAGGGGGCAAATGCCCCCTGCTTGAGGCGGAGTCCGGCTCCCGGCCACAACCACTCCCCTCTCTTGCAGGGAGGAGAGTCTTTAACCATATTGGGAACCAAATGTGCATTCAAGACAAGTTACTATTAGAATCCCCACTAATATATTCTAAGTTGAATGATGATATACTTCAGCCATGTAATTACTAATAATATATATTATGGTGCCCCTTTTGACCACTCTCCTCCCAGGCCGTGTGTCATTCCAGGTCTTCTGTGGGTGGGTGGGTGGGAATGGAGGGAATGAGAAGAAAGCCCTGTCCATCATCTGTGGGAGGGGATATAATACAACTGGACTACAGCTGAAGATGAAAGATTATTATTCAAGGCAAGAGTAGCCAACATAGTGACCGATATTGTTCTGTGAACCACCCTCTGGGTATGTCAGTATATAAATTCAATAAATAATAATAATAACTCCCATCGTATCAACCCTTGGCCATGGAGGGTACCATGTTGGCTTTAAAAAGACCAGTATATTTGGATATACATTGAGGAAGTCCCATTGTAATGAGGGTCAATAGAGAGAAAACAATTAGAATGAATCATTTTAGTGACAACTAGTGAGTCATCAAGTGCAACTAAAGCCCACAAGGCATGTGTAGTGCCCTAGCAGATGCATGGCAGATGCTTTCTGCACCCTCACCATCAACAAGAGAGGTACAGTAGCAGGACAACTGCAAAGCAAGTAAAATTGCTGCCACCATCTCCATGCTTTGTTTTGCTCTTGTGCCCCACTTATGAGAAATGCTGAGGCATCACTGGAGGGCCTAACCCACCTACTTCTGGGTGGGATGGGGAGTTGAAAGGGGAGGGAATTGTTGGTTCGATGTGAATGGGTTGTTGTTGTTTTTTACTAGGGAGTGGGTTTGAGGTTTTGTTTATCTGCTAATTAGTGGGTGGGAGTATTTCTTTGCTAATTATTAATGTCATTTGCTACTATTTACAGGGCTGGTGTGTTGTTTTTGTTTTTCCATAAGTGTTATGTTATGAAAAATTATATGTATCATATGAGCCCTCCTAATGTATTATATAAGCAACTAATAAGTTTAATAAACAAATGAATGGATGACATTTCTACTTCTCACCATCTTTATAGCTACAGGCAGAAAGCACACACTGAAAGTTTGTAGAGCTCCTGATGGACACACCCCACTCCCCAATACGAACCTGGTGCGTTGCATATAGTTTAGCAAGTTAATGGTGCATCCACTTTCTCCATCTTAGAATAAATTCATATATGTATGTGCATTTATCTGTGGAGAGTGAATGTCTTTGCCCCTACACTAGGCATGGTGAACTGATGGCCCTTCAGATATTGTTGAGCTGCCATCTGCCTCAGCCAGCACTGCCAACAGTCAGGGATAATAGTAATAACAGTAGTCCAACAACATACGGAGGATCACAGGTTCCTTGGCTCTTCCATATGCAATTCTGCTTGAAATTCAACTTCACCAGGTTCTCTGGCTGTGTGGATACTCATTGGGCTGTTTGTCTTGCCTGATGCTCAGTATTCAGCAGCAGCATTTTACAGCAGATCCCCCCCCCCCCCAGTAGCATTCAATAGCCTCTGGCAGCTGCCCTGCAGAGGATGCCAGGATTTGGCAGTAGCCAGACATACAGCTATCAACCATCGAAAGTATTTGACAGCAGCAATGCAGGTAGCAGTCATTATTTGATAGCATCTGACTGCTGGGTTGCAGTGGAATTTAGGGGCTTTGGAACTCATTTAATTTACCTGGGCTGCAATCCTGTATCCACTTACCTGGGTGTAAGCCCCATTGAACTGAATAGCATTTATTTCTGAGTAGATTGTGAATAGGATTGTGCTGTTAGCTAAAGAAACACAATGCTGAATGCCGGCATCCAGGTTTGATCCCACAATCCAAACAGCAATATTTGTGATCAAATTTTGCCATCAACACCCAAATTTAGAAATCCAAACTTGCACCTGATTTTGGGGTGGGAGGGGGAGAGATAATTTTGGGCTCTGGGGATTAAACAGATAGATGCGTAGGCTTGCAGGTCACGGTGAAAGCAGAGGTTCATATCAACACAAACCAGGCATTTAGACAGAGATTTTGTGACTGTTTGTGGAAAGGGCTAAGGCTGCAAGGAGTCACTGCAAAACAGCCAGATCACATATAAAAGGTAAAGGGACCCCTGACCAGTTGTGACCGACTCTGGGGTTGCAGCACTTATCTCGCTTTATTGGCCCAGGGAGCCGGCGTACAGCTTCCGGGTCATGTGGCCAGCATGACTAAGCCGCTTCTGGCGAACCAGAGCAGCGCACGGAAACGCCGTTTACATTCCCGCCGGAGCGGTACCTATTTATCTACTTGCACTTTGACATGCTTTTGAACTGCTAGGTTGGCAGGAGCAGGGACCGAGCAACGGGAGATCACCCCGTCACGGGGATTCAAACTGCCGACCTTCTGATCAGCAAGTCCTAGGCTCTGTGGTTTAGACCACAGCACCACCCACATCCAAGTAGCTTAATGTGTGTTTTTTAAAAAAGTTGTCTCTTATATACAACAGCTGGGATAGCTCAGTTGGTAGAGCGTGAGAATATTAATCTCAGGGTCATGGGTTCAAGCCCCACATTGGGCAAAATATTCCTGCATTGCAGGGGGTTGGACTGGATGACCCTCATATTGCCTTTTGACTTTACAAATTCCATGATTCTATGATATCATCTTAAGCATAGCTTCAGTCCCAAGGGTTTTGAATATACCTAAAAATCATTATACCCAAACCCCTGGAACTGCTCCACTGTTAGCAGGCGAATGGGGAAGAGGGAGAGAGAATCTCACATGTTCCCAGAACTTGTGCACCAAATGGGTCTTGCCCAGCAAGCAAGACAAAGCTCTTTTCATGCCAGGTAGCCCAAGCAGACCCAGCAGGCAAAGAGCTTTTAAGCTCTCTGCCTTGCTTGGAAGGAAAGGCCATCTCAACAAACCAGCTGTGGAAGCCTAGAGATGCTCATGCGAGATATGACAGGTACTCAGATGGCATGAGATCTCTCAAAAGCACCTCAGAGCCAGTCCACCAAGCAGCCCTTGCCCCCCCCCCCCCCTAGCAAAGTCAGGAGCTTAAAAACTCTTCCTGCACCAGGTAAATCGAAGCAGACCCAGCACAAAATAACATTTACGCTCCTTACCTTGCTTGGCTTTAACTTGCGGAACCAGCCTGCCTTCAACTACATATGGTTGAAATCGTGTATGTTAAATGTGCATAAGATGTGTTATGTGCAGATAGAGAACTCATTCTCTGCTTGAGAATCCTTAGGTGGCCAATGCAACACCAGCACAAGAGGGAGGTCTCAGCTGCCTCATGGGAACCATTGCAAAACAATCTGCAGAGGAAAAGGTCCTATTGGGATGGTGTATGTGTGGAAAACTGGTATGGGTGACAAAGTATCCTAAAAGATGGCATTTGGGCAGTGGCAGCCCTACATTTTGGGGGGGCCCTGAAGCTCATCGCAACCAGCAATGAGGTTGGGGTGACCACTGTTCAGTGGGATTGTTTCACGACATATCACCACAGATTTTTTTATTAAAAAATTTAACTGCTATATCTCAGATTTTGATTAAAATGGTTGTACTGGATTATCTCATTTTACATGAAGCACTTTTTACAAAATACTGTTTTCCTGGTTTTTCTAGCAACGTGCTAATGTACAGTTTCATCATAGGAGAGTTTCCTTGCAATGCCATTTTCTGGAGACAATATGCATAAAGATTCAAGCGCTCTTCAGCAGAACAGCCAACTCACTGCCAGAATCTACTTTTATAAACTCATCTGTGCTAATGACTCTTAAACTTTGGGATTGTTGAAATATTTAAAACAAAAAATTAAGCAAATTGTGTTGTGTGACTCAAGTTGGGTCTACTAGACCTAACATTTTAAAGCAATGTGGTCTAAACTGCTTCTGGGTCACCTCCAGGATTACGGGCCCTGAAGCTGAAGATTCATTAGTTTCATAGTAGATGCACCCCTGAATTTGGGCAACTGGTTGGATCTCTCAACTGAAGGACTCCACAGGGCAGCATTCAGTGCAACATTCTGTTACTGGCAAAAAATAAGTAAAATGTAGCCCATTACACCAGTGGCTTTTGTATATCTTAGGCAGAATACTGAAAGGCAGAAGCAATTTTACTTCTCAGAAAAATGACTAAGCATGGCCTACACACATTCCCCTTCTATCACTTTATGTGAAAGAGCTAAAGATTTACTTTGCAGATGAAAGATGAGCTTTGAGGGAAGGCTAGGAAGGCCAACACTCCAACACTGCCGCCTACTCTCACCCCCGTGACCACAGCCATGACTCAGACACAATACCTGTTCAATATGCAATCAAGGCCACATATTCAAGTGTGCTCTATTGTGTGAATATATCAGTTCAGTCCTTGATCCCCAACCTACTTTTGATATGACTTTCTTTTTTCTCCTTGAATGTATGACTCTAAGAATACAGGAAGCTACCTTTTTCTGAGTCAGACCACTGATGCATCCAGCTCATTGCTGCCTACGATGGCTGACCACAACCGTCCATAGTTTCAGCCAAGAGTCTCTCGCAGCCCTGCCTGGGGATGCCAGGGACTGAAGCTGATAGCTTACAGAGGAGATGCTCTACCACTGAGCTATGTCTCCTTCTACTCTGAGGCAGTGGAAACCATTTCTGCTAAAGGGCAAGCTGTTGTGTAGTCCTGCTGCCCTGTGCAAATCCAAAATATTGCTGGATGTGGTTTTTTTGTGTGTTTTTTTGAGATACTGAGCTTATCTTTGGCTTCACATTGGACAATCTGGTTTGCTCCATTCATACAAAGCAGCCTGTTTACCTCATCCAGTGTTGTGTCTTCCTAGTGTCAGAGTGTATCCATTAAGGGATGTGTTGTTTCAGGTTGAGTCTAAGTGACAGATAAAACACTTTTGGTAGCAAGATTTCCTGGAAAGGATGGGAACTGGTTGAAACAAGGTTTAACAATACTGAAAAAGCTAACTGGGGAATAGGGATGGGCTTAGTCCCCAGTTCTGTCCCATGGCATGCCACCGGTACTCAAGTCAGTCCTCAGCTCCATGTGTAATAATAAAAACATGCACAAACTTAAACTGTAAATAGTTGGTTTACAGTTGCAGAAATTTAATGCAAAACACACACCTTTCTGTTCTTTTTGGTGCTTTTGCCTATAAAATATGCATTTCATTTGCATTTCTTATTTTTGTGTGCACATTTCCTGCATCACAAAATCTGGAGAGTGTGTTAGCTGATGGGGAGTTGTGTTCTGATCCACATGCAAGCTCAAGAACACCTGATGACAATTGTTCCACTGTAAAAAACAACAACATATTAAACAATTGCCTTCCCATCCCTCCTGGGGACAGGAATACCGTAGTTTAGAAGGAGGAGGAGGAACCCCACCCATCTTATTGGGTTTCCCCAGCCACTCTGGGAGGCTTTCAGCAGAGTATATAAAAACACAACAACAACAACAACAACAACAACAGCATATCACACATTAAAAGTGTTCCGATACAAGGTTGCCTTCAGGTGTCTAAGGAAGCTCACATAATTATTTATCTCTTTAACATCTGATGGGAAGGCAGTCCACAGGGTGGGCATAGAATCATAGAGTTGGAAGAGACCACAAGGGCCATCGAGTCCAACCCCCTGCCAAGCAGGAAATACCATCAGAGCACTCCTGACATATGGTTGTCAAGCCTCTGCTTAAAGACCTCCAAAGAAGGAGACTCCACCACACTCCTTGGCAGCAAATTCCACTGTCAAACAGCTCTTAGTGTCAGGAAGTTCTTCCTAATGTTTAGGTGGAATCTTCTTTCTTGTAGTTTGGATCCATTGCTCCGTGTCCGCTTCTCTGGAGCAGCAGAAAACAACCTTTCTCCCTCCTCTATGTGACATCCTTTTATATATTTGAACATGGCTATCATATCACCCCTTAACCTCCTCTTCTCCAGGCTAAACATGCCCAGCTCCCTTAGCCGCTCCTCATAAGGCATCGTTTCCAGGCCTTTGACCATTTTGGTTGCCCTCCTCTGGACACGTTCCAGTTTGTCAGTGTCCTTCTTGAACTGTGGTGCCCAGAACTGGACACAGTACTCCAGGTGAGGTCTGACCAGAGCAGAATACAGTGGCACTATTACTTCCCTTGATCTAGATGCTATACTCCTATTGATGCAGCCCAGAATTGCATTGGCTTTTTTAGCTGCCGCGTCACACTGTTGGCTCATGTCAAGTTTGTGGTCAACCAAGACTCCTAGATCCTTTTCACATGTACTGCTCTCAAGCAGTACATGACTACTGAGAAGGCCTAATGGTCTATTTCAGTGTAAGACAGCTTCCTATGTCACTATATGTGTGTGACCATTTCAGGATTATGTTTCTGCAGTGTCTTCTAAATAGGTGAGTTTGTTCTATAGCTTACTGTTCTAAGCACCATTTATATCTAGGACGATGTTTACCAAAAATCATAATCTTGGTTTTAGAGTAATTTATATATAGGCTTTCCTGTTTGCAGTAGGTGCTGAACACCTCCAAGAGATTTTTGAGGCCCAATATGGAAAGAGAGGAGCACTAACTCGTCTGTATACATCAAGATTGAGATCTTTCTGTTCCTAATTACTGGAGGAGGGGAGTTTGCATTGGCTAAATACGGTACCAAATCATTAATATAAACATTTTTTAAAAGTGGGAGCCAGAATGAAACCTTGCTTCACTCCTCACTATGTTTTAATAGCATCAGTCCTTACTTTGAACCACATTTCTGTGTTGCACTATAGTTCTTGGATCAATAGCAGAAGCCTGCAGTTGATGTTGGCAATTTAAAATTTCTCCCATAGTCTATTTGGATTAACAGAGTCTAATGCGGCGGAAAGATCAATAAAGGCTACATAAATATTATTCTTAATGTTCTTAGTATATTTCCTTATAATACGGCTCAGAGTAAAACATTTGTTCAATGGTTATTGTTTCCTCCCCTGAATCCCACTTGTTCCTCATATTGGTAATGTGGGAAAGAAACAGTTTGACTAAAAACAAATTTCCTAAATGCCTCAGTTCCACTTTGAAAATATGACCAGGTAATTCAGAACTTCAGAATCAAGGGAGTCATTGCAATGTTAGCATTTATCCTTAGGAGTAACCAGTAATTCCAGCAACAAATGAAAGTGTCTCAGTTGCTGTGACGGTTTTCTGGGAAATGCAACAGACTTACTGATAAATCCAGGTTTCCATGATGGGAATAGTGTGGAGCCAGTTGTTCCAGTGCAAAGTTATAAATAAGTGCACAGTTTAAAGAGAGGACAGTTTACAAACCTGTCGTGCAGAGGTTGAACAAGTCTCCAGGTTTCAAGACATCCTGAACTTGCCTTTAGCTTCCCAATGCACCCAGTCATTGTAACTGCCGGTAAGTGCCAAGGGAGACAGACAGCATATCCTGGAAAATGCGGCATCCTGTTGTAGAGCTAAATAAATAAAAGGACGCACAGGAAGTATGATCTGCCAGAGATGTAAGATGGTTGTGCTTTCCTTCCCCTTAAATAAAGAGAGAGAGAGAAACTTTCTGACTTTGTGGTATAAACACTTGGTCTGA